ACCTAACTGAAGTCTTGGCACTAAAAGAGAAAATTTTTGCACCCGAGTGGAAATTTTTCTTATCCAGTTACCCTATGTGTAAAAAACTAAATGGTTGCAATTGGAGTGCAATTTGTGTGGAGTACAAAATTGCAATTGGTGGAGTACAATTGGTGGAGTGCAATTGGTGGAGTGCAATTGGTGGAGTGCAAATACAGTTGAGGAGTGCAATTGGTGGAGTACAAAAAACTTGTATCAAGCAGGGCAAAAAATCCAATTGTTGAAATTGCATACAGTGGAACTTTGTACGGAGACGTTTTGAGAGCTTTGAAGAAGAAAATCTTCATAGCTCATCTGGAGAAGTTTTCGGGGTTTTTCCCATAAATGCAGATTTTAAAGCATCATCTGCAAAAACTAAGGGGATTCCTTCCATGAAAAATGCACAGCTCGGAAAACGTCATTTGTTTTGCGTCGAGTTTTTCTAATCTAGTCGCGGTTTCGAAATTACAAGGATAAGAATACATCTTGAAGAGTACATAGACCACAGCACATTTTCATCACTGGATAAATGAAATTCATATTAGACAAGACTGCTCGTATCAGGGCGAAGCCCTGAATGTTCCGACTGCCTTTTAAGGTTTATTGAGCAGCAGTAATACATAAAAAAAAATTAAACGAAATAAAATAAAATGAAATTTTTTTTCAAAAATTGGAAGTTTTTTATGAAAATCATCCCCCCACACGCCATATAAAGTACAAAAAGATAGATTTTCATTCCTTGTAACAAATCAATTATGGCAAACAAGCTTCTTTCAACCAATTTGGAACGATTTATAAGACGGATTAAATCTCCGCTTACGCGTTAATAGCGCGAATTATATTGCGCGTTAATTGTCCCAAATTGATCAAAATGGCCAAAATGGCAATCTTTAAACCCTCATAACTTTACGAAGAAAGATCACAGGTGAAATATCTTTTCAAATTTAAGCTCAGGACAACAATACCTTTTGAATGATATAAAAAAATTCCGTCAAAAATGGCTAGTTAAAAAGTCGAAATTTGTCTGAAGAAAAAAAAACCCACCCCGAGCACAAATATTCCGTAACTTTCGTATCGAAAGTCGGAAAAAAAAACCAGGGCGGCGAAGAAGCAGCGAGGAGAAGTCAGACGAGCAATCATTGATAGACCAGAGGGCCGTTCTAAGCGCCTGACAAAGGTTTTTACTGCTGCTGACCAAAAACACGTCAAATTTTTTCCTCACAGTGTCAACCTTTTGCTCTCTGGATAAAATTTGTTCGGCAAACTTGGGACTTTGCTCAGAAGCTATTGAACCAAAATCCTCCTTAGACTAAAAATTCACAATTTTTTCGCTCAAACAAGATAATTCGTTCGGATCGACAATAAAAACTATAGAGCAATCCCTCTGAACAATCATCCATCCAACTATCAAGGACAGCATGAGTCGTAGCTAAAAGTTTGTCGTAATAACCTTTTGCCGTTTGCTGCAGCGCTAAACTTGGGATCAAAAAAGCGCACAAGAGGGATATCAAAATGCGCCAATTTTATAACTAGTAAGTTGAAAAGGCAATAGGTTGGCTTGAAGGGTTACTCTTACTACAAATAACGACGGTTGGACGGCTGGAATTACCCCAACTTGAAGGAACTTTCTTTCAATATCTGCCGAAATTGCATATATACGCTGCCTGATCAGGCAAAAAGCCCTCAAAAATTTCTGCAATAGACTGGGTTCTATAAAAACAGATTGATTCAAAGAGACATGAATTTTGATGCAATTGTTTTAGATTGACTTTCTTTTTTTAGATCTATCAAGCTACTTGCGCTGGCAATATTGCATGGCGACATTTCGCAGAAAAATCATGATAATAATCATGAGCTGTGTTATTTTTTCATCCCATCAAATTTGGATGAGGAGCACGCTAACAACCTTGAAAATGTTTCCATTGTTCCTCAAATATATCATCATTTATTTGCGCGTTTACTCTTAACTTAAACAAGACCGCTCGTATCAGGGCGAAGCCCTGAATGTTCAGACTGCCTATTAAGGTTTATGGAGCAGCAGTAATAACAAAAAAATTAAAAGAAACAAAATGAAATGAATTTTTTTTTCTAAAATTTGAAATTTTTTATGAAAATCATGCCCCAAACGCCATATAAAGTACAAAAAGATAGATTTCGTTCCTTGTAACAAATCAATTATGGCACATAAGCTTCTTTTAACCAATTTGGAACGATTTATAAGACGGATTAAATCTCCGCTTACGCGTTAATAGCACGAATTATATCGCGCGTTAATTGTCCCAAATTGGTCAAAATGACCACAATGGCAATCTTTAAACCCTCATAACTTTACGAAAAATGACCACAGGTGAAATATCTTTTCAAATTTGAGTTCAGGACAACAATACCTTTTGAATGATATAAAAAAATTCCGTGAAAAATGGCTAGTTAAAAAGTCGAAATTTGTCTGAAGAAAAAAAAACCCACCCCGATCACAAATATTCCGTTACTTTCGTATCGAAAGTCGGAACAAAAAGAATAAAAAGAGCCCTTGAGTTTTAAGTGACTGTAACAGATAGTTGGGGGGGGCGTTTTTCGGAGAGCTTTTTCGTGAATCGTTGGGGGCGTGGAGTTTTTTTTGTGAAAACTGAAGCTGCCGAAGTGGTTAATGGATATTTTTGAAAAACAAAATGTCAAGTTTGTTGTTGAGCCATCTTCAATGCCAAAGCGAAGTTACCCTAAACGGCGACAAAACTTCAAAAATTCGTTTCCGCTCACACCTTTCAAACTTTATCTGTTCATCGTTACCATACATGTTATTATGGCTAAACTCATAAAGTACGTTACGGATAACAAATCTTATCACAATTGTTGTTTTGTTCACCAATCCAAGTTTGATTGCATTGTGACAATGATAAAATAGTTTTTCAAAAGTAAAAAAAGAGCCAACAAAAACTCAAAAAGTCGGAAAAATAATGAACCTGGCAATCATCAAAGACTGTGATCCTTTGGATAGTGTTTAGTCTCAGTTTGTTTTAGTTTTAAGTGTTTGGGAAGTTTTTTTGTTTGTCAGAACAGCAAAAAAAAACCAGATCAACAATTACAACGACAAATTTCTTGAATTTTCATTTTGGATAATAGGGTAGTTTGAAGCTTCTGTAAGGTTTAAAACCTAGTGCGAAAGAAGCATTCAGATAAATTTTTGGCTATTAAAAGTAATGAAAATCTAATGTTAATTTTCGAACGGAATCATATCTTGCTACGCTTGCTAAGGCTAGTTTTACTAGTTTCAGCCTGTGGCGCTTAAAAATGGACCTTCAGCTCTGATAATTTTCTCCCAATTTATTGTCAAGCGATAAAAAAGTGTTTTTGTTCCACTTTAAGTGCCAATAGATAGATCGGAAACAGTTTCTTTAATTAATATATTTCCGCATGAGGAGAATGTTTTAAAATTATTGTTCCGACTTTCGATACGAAAGTAACGGAATACTTGTGCTCGGGGCGGGTTTTTTTTTCTTCAGACAAATTTCGACTTTTTAACTAGCCATTTTTGACAGAACTTTTTAAATATCATTCAAAAGGTATTGTTGACCTGAGCTTAAATTTGAAAAGAAATTTCACCTGTGATCTCTTTTCGTAAAGTTATGAGGGTTTAAAGATTGCCATTTTGGCCATTTTGACCAATTTGGGACAATTAACGAGCGATATAATTCGCGCTATTAACGCGTAAGCGGGGATTTAATCCGTCCTATAAATCGTTCCAAGTTGGTTGAACAAAGCTTATTTGCCATAATTGATTTGTTACAAGGAACGAAATCTCTCTTTTTAATCCGACTTTCGATACGAAAGTAACGGAATATTTGTGCTCGGGTGGGTTTTTTTTTCTTCAGACAAATTTCGACTTTTTAACTAGACATTTATGACGGAATTTTTTTATATCATTCGAAAGCTATTGTTGTCCTGAGCTTAAATTTGAAAAGATATTTCACCTGTGACCATTTTTAGTAAAGTTATGAGGGTTTAAAGATTGCCATTTTGGCCATTTTGACCAATTTGGGATAATTAACGCGCGATCTATTTGGCGCTATTAACACGTAAGCGGAGAGTTAATCCGCCTTAGAAATCATTCCAATTTGGTAAGAAAGAAGCTTATTTGCCATAATTGGTTGGTAACAAAGAGCGAAATCTATCCTTTTGTACTTTATATGGCGTGTGGGGGGATGGTTTTATTTAAAACAATTCAAATTTTAGAAAAAAAATTTTCATTTTGTTTTATTTCGTTGAATTTTTCATGTTATTTCTGCTCCATAAGCCTTAAAAGGCAGTCGGAAAATTCAGGGCTTCGCCCTGATACGAGCAGTCTTGTTGTACTTTATATGGCGTGTGGGGGGATGATTTTCATTAAAAATTTCAAATTTTAGAAAAAAATGTTTTCATTTTATTTTATTTCATTTAATTTTTTTATGTTATTACTGCTGCTCCATAATTCCTATCAGGCAGTCGGAACATTCAGGGCTTTGCCCTGATACGAGCAGTCTTGTTAATCTTTATTATTCTTTGTGGCTCTCATCCATTCCCCCATCTTTCAGGTTCAATTCTGAAAACGTTTCGTAAACATCTGTCATAATGCAAAAAAAAACACTTCGCATGAGAACTGAACAGATTTGTTCATTATTTTCATCGATCACGCATTCGGCCGAAAAACACGGTAAACAACTGAAAAAATTGATGTTTTGAGAGGTGGAGGAGTCGAACAGAGCCTCTTGTTTTAGAGTCATGTCGATTGAGATCAGAACTGCAAACTCTCGATTAAGTCTTAGTCACTTAAGTTCAAAGCTACTGCCAAAATAGTTAACTTCTGAGGATGTTTTTGTTTTGCTAATGCCACCATCAATATGATAATAACGGTTATGTTTTCACAGTTTGTGCCAATTAAATACTACATCCTGAAAATGCGCGAAACCATAACTGCCGAAAACCACTTAAAATAGTAAAACAATCAGACTATATTGCTCAAATTTGGACTTGTGATCGTATACTGATAGAAAATGTTATTCATTTGGCAAATTTTCTGATTTATGGTTCACTTGTTTCATTTGTTTCATGAAACAACCATGAAACACATAAGCATTTTCTTTTTCACCGCAAGTTTTCTTTCAGTCACTGGAAAAAGTGCAAATCTGGTGGATAAAACACAAAACGAAGGTAACCAAATTAGAGATATTTGCAAACGCAGCCATTATTCCAGAAAAAAAATTTATCGAGTATGTCTTTCATAACCTTGCATAGGAAAATGAAAAATCCCACATTTGACTACTAATTTTTTGCGCTTCAAATAAGTGTTTGAGCAAAATGGCCAATTTTAGAAAACTTTAAAGCTAAGCATTAAGATGCTGAAGTTTGATTAAAATGTCTAAAAAGCTGAAGCTGGATCATAACAATTATTACAAAAAAGGGATTGGTAACAAGGTACAATAATTGTTTATGTTTAATCGTTAAATTTGTTCTTTATGTGGTAGGAATTCTTTACTAGGTATAATGGGTGTAAGGGTAGTTATAAGATCCTCATTGGCAATCAGATCATTTCGTTGTCCATAATGATCAGCCCGCTTTTCAGAGCCTCTGCAGTATGAGCCCACGCCTGATCTAACCGCTCTAGTTAACCAAGTGCACGTTGAGCTACGCCAAGCCCAACTGGAGTATGGCACAAAACAAGTGACGGACACCACAAACATGGTCATGGTAAGCTACAGCTGGAACGAAAAAAAACCTGCCAGACACATTTACGCTGCACTGAAAGCCAGCGGAATAAATGCCTGGATTGACTATTACAACATGACTGATGCGAATAACCTGCCCCAAGCGATGGGCGAAACAGTCGAAGATTCGTCTGTAATTGTGGTTTGTTTTTCACAAGCTTACCAAAATAGCCAGAATTGCCGACAGGAAGCTCTCTACTCGCTTCAAATGAAGAAAAAACAAGTATTCGCTAAGGTACAAGAAGATTTCGCTCCCTCAGGCTGGCTGGGGTTTGTTCTAGCAGGACGCCAGTACTACAACTTCTATAACGAATCTGTGTTCGAGTCTAACTTCGAGAAACTGCTCGGAAATGTGGAAGAGGGACTGAACGGCTCAGATGGTAAACTCGGTCATGGTCTGACGATGGTTTTTGTCAGTATTGCGTTCAAAGTTTTCTTCTGAAGTAATATTTAGTAATCTATCATCGTGTCATAAATTATTATCTGGTTTATTATAATGAGGTTAATCATGTTAAAGATTTAAGCTGATTGTTTCTGATCAAGTTTTTTTAGTATTCCCTTGAAGGTTGATTACGAGATAACTTACAAGACAATCAAATGTTGTCTTGTAAGTTGTAGAACTGTTTTTCCTTCTTTTTTCTGCTCGAAATTTGCACCGCGGCTCTGACATTCATGCCACTCGGGTAGCCGTCCACAATTGCTGTTGCGACTGCAAAAGCCGCGCTAAAGATAATGTACGGAACAAAAAACTTCACTCGCGCCGAGTTCATTGTCACGTATAGTCTCAATATAAAATTACGCAAAACGGAACCTAAAAACGCTCAATTTTAACTGAAACTTGTTGAATTGTTTTTTGAATCATGTCAAAAAAATTTCCTCCGAGTGTTGCATTGACCCTGTCACTTGAAGGCACCACCAAACAAAACTTTCCATATGCTTTAACGGCAACTTATTTTTCCATATGCTTTAACGGCATCTATTTTTATGTCTGTTAGTCTATTTGTTTCATGGAATGTATATCAAAGATCGCGGGTTGCGTTTTCAATCAAACCAGACTTGTAGAAGTCATCACCGACAAGCTTGAGCCTATTTTCAGAATTTGGAGGTTTTTTTTATTTCAAATCAAATCAAAGTTACTCACATGCAATATCAAAGTTGCGCAGAAATTTTCTCACATTACTATCTGAGAAATCGGCTTTTTTTGAGAAAGTGTCAATTGAGTTATAACCGAAGGTTGTTAACTCATAGAGTAATTTCGGATAGGGTACACCGTCTGCTCGTCACGCTATCTTATTTTCGGCCGGATAGATTCGTGCAACTTCTTAGTCTAATACCGATCCTAATCTTACTCTTATACTTACTAGTCTCAGGGTGTTTAACTAATCTCTGCTAGGCTCAATAGATCTAGAGTATACTGGTTTATTGCGGCAGCTGAAGTTCTCTTGAGGAGGCAACTAATTTCTAAGTTAAATTCAAATCTCTCTGGTGCTGAAATTACAAATAATTTCAACACTTACAAGTAAGTGGGTTGTTAGTTAGATGGATTGTGGTTGGTTAATATTAAATATTTTACAGTGGTAAAATATCCAATTTATCCTATTATAAAATGTAGTTTAGATCAGGTTCCACCCATCCGGGTTTTACAGAGTTTTTTAGAGTTATCTTTCTGCAATTTGAAGGATGGATGATGAACGTTGGTATTTGGCGAACATCATATTCTTGTCCGGTTCCTCTTGGAGAAGAAGTTCCACGACGCTGGAATTAGGGACATAAAATTGTTGCGTCGTCTTTTGACAACGACTGTGATCCCCAATGAAATCAATCTGATTTCAAAATGATTTGCTATGAAGGGTTTTTCTGTATTATGTAGAGAACTTGTTTTGTGTGCAACCTCGTCTGGGAATGGCGTGGAGATCGTGTGTGGAAGGGATGCCTCGTAACTCGGATCTGTACGTATACATGAACATCGAGGTGGTCATTGGTCTAGTTCAATGAAGTCTTTTTCTGCGGAGTCAAGTCGTACTCTAAATCCTTTGAGTTGTGATTGTGGACGGCATGTCGGTTGTGCTTAGCCATTCCTTTGTTCGAGTGTGATGGGATCATCTAGTCTTTGGATTTTCGTCTTTGTTGTTGTGTATTGATCTATATACTGCAAAGTATGATTTACATTTTACATTTTATAAAGTTATGTTAATCCAATTTTTTTATCATGATTTTAGTTAATCGTTTTCACAAAAGCGTTTTGTTTTAGTTTGGTTATTTTGAAGAGTTACTCACCCTTGAGTACCTCTTATTAAAAAAAGAAGTGTGGTCACAAAGCGTGGATGTAGCGCGGTGGGTTAGGCCGGCTATAGAGCATGCCCAGGACGTCTTCTCTGGTGGGTTAGGCCAGGAGTGGGAGTATGATTTCATGCTGTTTCTTTGAGAAATCCTGTTATGTGATAACGTTTTATGTTGGGTTTATGTTAGTATTTCTTATATTACTTTGGTTGTGTCCTTTTTTCAAAAATCAAATTGTTTTTGGTATGGGTTTGTCTTGCGACTTTTTTGTGTTTTATTATTTCTTTTTTAGACTTTATAATAGTCTTCAAAAGAATAAATTATCCAGTTTTAAACTGGGTTAATCCGGTTTGGGTACCGTTAGTTTTCTTTTCTTAGTCATGCTGTTATTTTATGATTTGTGGTGTTTAGTAAGCTGGGTTGGTTAGTTTGGTTTAGTATATAATTCCTTTCCAACCGAGTTAAAGGGAAATTTGAAACTTGTTATCGTGTGTTAGAGTTGTTGAGTGTGAAAACTTGAAACTTAAAATCATTATTTAAACAATTCTTCTTGGGCGAGCTGTGCGAGTTTGGATAGAATTCTTGTGCGATTGAATGAAAATATCAAAATGTTAGTACTGCTTTCTCATTTTATCAATATATTGCATAGAATTTGAATTTTACTGCGTTTGGGGGAAATTTAAAAATATAAATTTTCATCGTAATTAATTTTACTGCTTCATGGGGAAATAATTTATAAATTAAATTACTATATTTGGTATATTTTATTATTTTATTTAGTGCAAGAAATTAATGAATTTTAAGAGAATTTAACAAGTTTGTAGTTTTAATTTTCTTTTCTGTTTTGTAGGTGATCGTGGTGTGAAGACTGGAAATTTAAATGAAACATTAATAAAAAATGGTCAGTACTAATTTAAATTTATTCGTGAACAGCGTTTTAAATTATACTTACCTGTTAATCGTCTGGGAAAAAGCCGTGGGGGAAGATATCGTGTATCATATCTGATGTTGTTAGTAATTTGGCTAGTATGCGAATGATGTTTTTAGTTTGGAGCAGTGGCCAAAGCAATTGAAGTGCTTTAATGATTTTTAGTTCTTCGGTGCCTACTGCAAACTCGTAAGGTGTTTTTTAAATGAGGTTATATATTTTATGATTATATTTAGTATTGTGAATGAAGTCTAATATTGGTATTTCTATAGGCTGGATAAACTCATGCGGGATTAGTAAGGGTCTGGATTCTTCGGCGTTAAAGGTCTTCGTGATGGGACAAAATATATAAAATTGGGTTACTGGGTCATTGTTGGGAAGGATGCCGTGGAGGTTAGTATCTTTGATGCAATAAAATTAAGGAAAAATGGTGACGTGTATTTTGAGTTAAAAAACTGAAAATGATGGTGAGGTTGTCTTGATGGGGTTTGCAAATCAAAATGATTTTGGATAAAACGACAGTATGTATATGTGTGGGTTTGTTTAGTGCGTAACATAATATCGTGGGAACAGTGCAAATCGCGTTCACGTGGTGAAAGAAAGTGAAAGGTTAGTGAAAATAACTGAAATTTGTCATGGAAACTTTTGTAAGCTTGAATATCAGCTACTGATTGGGAAATGATGTGATCATACTTTCTATCAAAAATATTAAGTGTGAATACGTATGACGTTTTGATGAAAATTTTTTCTGTTAATTGCGGGTTAGTGAAGCGGTCTTCATCTAAAAATTGGTCTTGATTAGGTCGGATGATATTATGGTTGTAAAATTCTATTGTAAATTCGTTAGCTCGGGGTGCAGTGAATGTTTTTAGTAATTTTTTGTATCCTACGTAAGTAAATTGTCTAGCTGTTAGTGTTGTAGTTAGTCTATATAACATGTCTTTGTTCTTTTCTATGTTGTCATGAGTATTAGTTAGTGGAAGGCAAATGGGGTTAGTAAAATGATAATAAGCTGTCCAAAGAAGTGCTGGCATTAAAACATGTTCATCTGCAAAACTACGTGTGTCATTAGTATTGTTAGGTGTGTTTAATGTATATTGTGGAAATGAGGGTAAAGTGATTGCTAGAAAGTTTTTCGTGTTGGTGTGCTGCGGGTGATTAATATATTCGCAGGCTGTTCCGGGTTTAGTCGGGAACGGGTGATTCGGGAATTTTCGTTTAAAAGTTCGATAAGCTCGGTGAGTGCTACTAGGTGTTTCGGTGGATGTGGATGATTGTGTTAATGATGCAGTGTAAGCTGAGGAGGGTGTAGGAGTAGGTGGGTTTGAGGATTCTATTGTGGATGATATTTGATGTATTGTGAGGGTGTTAGGGTGTATTAACTGTTGTTGTAAGGTAATAAAATTCTCGAGTTCCTGGGAAATTTGGGGGGGGGGGGTATCTGGAGAATTATTATATGATCTGTCGGAGTGAAGTGGAGAGTAGGTTGGGGTCACTTGCGAGGCATAAGAAGGAGTGGAAACGGATGGGAGTGAACTATTTGATGGAATTGGTTGAAAAGGGGGTTTTGAAAAAACTGAGGAGTTGGTCTGAATATTATTTGATGGAGATGGTTCGGAGTCTGCAAATTCGTCAGGGGTTTCTACATTAGGGTTATTAAATTGTGAGATAGAGTATAAAACTGAAATATCTGAGTTAGTATCAGAATTCGTGCTTGATGATATATTAATAATCGGAAAATCGGGTGGTGGGAAGTTAAAAAGTGGGATTACTGGGTTTTGAGTTTGGAGGTTGTCTGGGTGGGAATTTGAGAGATGTAGGGATCCAAGTTGTCGGCTCATCGTGGGCTAAAAAATGATTATTTTGAGACTGAAAAGTGGCGGTGTGGGGTTGTTCTATAAATTGTTCGTATGTATTATCATTTTGTGAATGATGTGTCATTAAATGTTGGATGAGACTTTGTGGTATATTTGGTCTAGAATTTGGATTATTTGTGATTGCTAAGCTTCGGAAGTTACATGGGACTAATGATAATGGATGGTTTTGTGGTAGGGGTGGCAACTGTGGTGCGGTAGTTGTTATTTCTATATTAATATGTTCTTCGTCGTAGAACTTTTTCTGTCTTGTGGATATTTTCGTGTTATATTCTTTTATTTGTGCGTCTAGAAGTATTTTGTTTATTGATGATGAAAAAATTCCAAAAAATCCTTTAAACAGTTTGCGTGCTACACTTGCTTGTCTGTTTACTTGTGTGTGTATAGCGCATGTGTTATAGATTCCTTTTAAAAATGAGAAAAGAAATCCTATAAA